TGAAAGAAGAAAAAATAGAGGAATCAAGAAATACCATGTACAGGTACAAATTCTCATTATACTGAATGCAATCACTATTTCTGCCTTAATTGTACCAATAAACTTAATTTTTTTTTTCCTAAAGAAAAAGAAATCAGTCAAGGGGAAGCAATACAATCAGCCACTATCCCAAGTTATTCTACTATTCAAGAAAAATGTCTAACCTGAAATCAGAGAAATACAGGCAACAGCAGCAGAGAGGAGACTAAGAAAGAGAAAACAGTTAATAAATGTTTGTTAGGTCTTCAGGTTAGGAAGTGGATGGGAGCAGAACAAAATCTTTGGCTCTCCTGTAAATATTCTTGTTTTACCACACAGATATTGGGCAAACACTCAAGCACAAACAAAGGACACCTTGGTCCTGGATCCATCAAAATATCCTTTACTCCTTTCACTCATCTGATCTCTTCCATATATACATATTACACACACACACACACACACACATGTGAACGCGCGTGCGTGTGTGTGTCTTTTGAGACAGGGTCTCTCTATGCAGTTCAGGCTATCCTTGAACTCACTTTGTAGCCCAGGCTGGCCTCGAACTCACAATAATTCTCTTGCCTCAGCCTCCTGAGTGCTGGGATTACAGGCATGCACCACCATGCCTGGCTTCTTCCTTCCACAATTTTTTGATGTAGTCCCTTCCATTTTCTTTATTTTTCCAGGCTTCACTTTGCTTTGGCTCTTTACCTAACATACTTTGAAATTCATATATATATATATTGGCCTTTTTCCTTTTTACTGGTACCGGGGATCGAACCTCCCAGGTGTTGATTCTTTAAAAAAAAATTTTTTTTTTAAATTTTAAAGTACGGGGGCTGGAGATTTAGCTCAGCGGCATAAGCGCCTGCCTTGCAAGCAGGCAGTCGTGAGTTCAATCCCCGGTACCGATAAAAAGGAAAAAGACACACACACACACACACACACACACACACACACACACACACACGAAAAAAAGAACACCTGCACACACAAAAACTGCACAGGTTATGTGTCTGAAATAAGTTTATACTATGCCTGTTACTTCTCACCAGTTTTGTTTACCCAGTCCTGGTAGAATACAGGCCACAGCGTAATATTATTTAATGCTTCTTCTTTTCATTACTCTCCTGATCAAGGCAGCTATCAATCTATAGAAGTAGAAGTACTTCTTACCTATTCCAGTACAGGGAGCAGAGAGCCTCTTCTGTAACACTAAAAAAAGTCAAATATTCCCCACATAAGGTAATGATCCTTTTGGTGTCTATTCCCTGATAAAATGCAACCCTAAAGGGCTTTGTTACTTAGTCATTAGCTTTTAATCAAATGTGAACTTTACTAGTTCAACACCCATTCACACCTAACAACAGCAAATGCAAAGAAGGCTAAATGTAAATGCAGGTTCTCAGCTTCTCAGACTCCTACACCTTAAACTCTTCAGACCTCTTTGGGTTGGCCTAGGTGAACTGGAAGTAAAAGCCGTACATACTCTGGGCTCAACTCTTTTTTATTAGAATTGTACAACCCGGTTATCAGAATTCACCCCCAAAAAAGTAGCAATACCATAATTTGGCAAAATTTTCAGTGTAGCAAAATGTCTTCTTTTCATTCAGGATATCTCCTTGATGATCTGTCAAAGTCACAAACATACACATTCCTTTTCTGTGCCTGCTCCTCTCCCTCCTTTCCCTCTTCCTATAAAGAACTTAGATATGGTATCTAGTAAATTCCCAGGAAGGGGGGCAAGGAAGCAGGAGTAGAAGAAATAATAACAACAGTGGTATTTGGATTGTTTAGTAAGTAATTACCACTCTTTCCTAGCTATTATAGTTATTGCTACTCCTCCTCATCCCCACCTGCTTTACCCTATAAATCCTAGTACTGCTGTAGCTAAGAAAGGGCAAGAAGAAACAAAACTGGAAAACTTCTTTTAACAACCATATATTCATAGTTTATATTTTTACATTGATGGAGGGTAACCAAGGAAGTATACTGTGCCTACCATGTTTAAAACAAATATATTCATTCATTCATTCATAATCAACTGAAAAATGGAAATACTTGTAGTAGGATTTACTAATAAAATCTCCAGTGTGTTTTCGCAGCAGATAGGTCTTCCTCTCAACTGGCCACAATACACACCACTTGTTTTTTATTCATCATCAGTAATTTGTTTTTAATCCATTCAGTAATGAATTTTCTGCTTTAAATTTTAAAATAGCTAAGTTGAAATTTTTCACTCTTCAAAATACAAAATCAAAAACTCAATGGTCACTTTCTGTGAGTCCATTACTTCTGGCCAAGAGTCAGCCATTCTGAACAGAAGCGCTCCACACCACTCCACACAGTAACACACTATGGGGCCTCACCGTTTTAAGCTAAACAGTCAGTTTCGACATGGTAGAGGGACTTGTTGGGATAACATATTTTCTAATTTATTCCCCAGATCAAACTCCAAACTTCCATTATAATTTTATTTCAAATTGTATTTTATTGTGCAATGAAAGAGTCCTTAAAGTCTACAAAAGAAAAGCAGGATTTTTAAAATTTTGTTTTCCCCATTTTATAAAATTATACAAACAAAAGTAATCAATACTGGTTCTCACAAGACTGGTAATTTCCTTTTAGTAGGTTAAAAATATTTGATGGAAGAAATTCCATCACCTCACCGCTCTGTAGTCACACTTTGTATGGAGAAGCACTATTTCTCCACCTAGTCCTCTGAAGCACCAAAGATCACCCATACTGCAGGGCCTGAATCAGGTGTGCTCACAGATAGCTTCTGGACAGAGACAGAGACAGAGAGAGTACTTTGTCTTCAAAGAAGCCAAGCTTCTCCATCCTTTCTACTCACAGACACATAGGAAAGCTGACCGAAAGCAAGCTCCAAGCATCTTTTACACCACCATATCTCAAAACATTAAAAAAAAAAAAGCACAGACTTTCATAATGTTGTAACACTCATAAACAAGGAAGTCAAGAATGTAATGGGAATGCTGTAAGATACTTCAAAGTATTAAATTCCTGGGCATGAAATGTCGCTAGAAGGCCAATTAATTTTTTTAACTTCAGATTCTTATTTTTCAAATTTTTTGTAACAAATTAAAAGCTGAATGATCTAATTATTGTATGATTTTATTACATACAGTGGATAAAAGCATGTTTCTATGATTAGTATATTTACATTCATTAAACAAGCTCAATGTTTGCAAAGTGTTGACCTGAGTCACAGCTATTGCCCAGCAAGTTAGCATATCACAACCATCAGAGATACAGCTCAAAGCACAAACCCCTCTAAATAGTAAAGAAAGCTGCATATAAACTGTATATAAAGCCGTCAGCACAATGGCTGGTTTCTAAACTTCTAAATCATGACATGCGCCCTCTCTTTCCTTCAAATAACCACAAGAACTTAAGAAAATAAAATCAAAATATTTTAGAATATTTTTCTGCATAGAATATATTTTAACCAAAACAAGTTAATCCACTCCTATTTCTCAATTAATATTCCCCCACTATGTTCAACACTACAAAAGGCTACCATAATTATTGCTACCGTCTCATTAAGTATATTCTTCTTAGAACCTAACTTCAACATGGTATTTGGCACCTGGACTTTCGCTGCTCATACGCCGGTCCTCTCCCCTTCCCATCACCACCATTTTACTAGCAGAATATTCACAATCTTCAGATTTTTTTTTCTTTCAGTAAACAGAGTGCATAAAATCAGATGGCTGGACACAAATCAGAAGTTAGAAGCTACATAAAAATAAACACAAATGATTCTAAATTTATCTCTTTTCAATCTCTACAGAAAGCAGTACATCATCTTTATTTGTAACGACCTAAGTTGTAGAGGCTTTTCACTCAATTATTCTAATAAATCGATATAATTTGATCTTTTTGCTATCACATCACATCCTTTTTACACTAGTGTGCTTTCATTAAAACCATTTTACTTGGTAGGTCCTTCAATTCATATTTCTTTCATTGTTTTTCCTTTTGTTTAATCATCAAATTACTTCTCTATTTTCTTAAATTTAAACCTATGAACAAAAAGATAATCCTAAGTATTAATCTTGGAAAAGATAAATCACTATGTCTTAAATACAAACTATACACATTACGTATAAACTGTTAGGTAATGAAGAGAAAGGTAAGTATCAACTGTTTGTCCAAGAACTTCAATTTAAAACATTATGTACTATACATAATTTTGGCATACAGAAGTGAATGTGGCATATTCATATCAAAATAAAGAACTCTAGTCTCATTTCTGAGTTCAGATACAAAAATCTTAAATGTTTATAAGGCAAAATAGTTATTTTTATGAAATCTCTTCTTACAGGTATAATCATATGATTGACAGATAAAATAATTGCTTTAAAAATACTTCTGAGTCATTTAGTCCTTACCTGCAGGCATGAACCATTACTGCATGCAGTGACTGTTCCATTTCCTAGCACAGACTTGAAGAAGAATCACATCTCTTTGAGAATGTGACTAATCTGTGGGTTTGCAATTCCTAAGCTATTTACAAACGGCACTCCCTTTCCACATAAGAATTTATTGCAATAATAATCAAGTATTTTAAACCTAGATCTTATAAATAACCGTGGTGATTCTATGCAGCAGCAATCACAAATACAGGAAGAAAATTCAACAGTATTTCCTTAAAGAAAGCAAGATATTGAGCAAATTATTTTTTAAAGCCTTCAACAGCTGTCACACATGAACCAGCGGTCTGCTGTGTTATGGTGTGCATGCTGCAGCTGATTAGGCTTCACAGTTTTTGAAAAAAATCAACTAGCCTTCGCAAAAGCAACACAGCTCGCCCAAATACACATTTTCAATACAGCACAATACCAGCATGCAGTACAATACGTTATAAAGCAAACTTGACAAGGAAAAAAATATGTCCTGTTTGTTTCTTAGCAATGCTACACCATTAATTGTTCATGCAAGAGATGTAGCTGTACCTTTCTGAAGAGGACGACTTCTCAGAGTTAACTGACATCAGCAGCTCAATCTTCTGCTTGATTTCTGGAAAAATCAGAAAATATTCACAACCAAGATTGCCTGCCCTTGCTTCCAAGCCTTATATCAAGAGATTTTTTTCTTCTCTAATCCCTTTTGTTCAGAATGAGGCCACAAGATTCACTGTACTTCTGTTAGGACTCGGATTCAATGGTGCTATAAAGGGAAAAAGCTCCAGAGGCATCAGGCCTTGCTAAACTATGCACATGACTGTTTATGAAAGCAGGAAGTACCATTTGTTTTAAGCAGAGGGGTGTTTTCCTTTTTAAGGTAGAACTAGCATGGCTCTACAATAAGATTTTAAATTTAGCCAAATGAAATACAAACAAGAAATGCTACCATCAGAATTCAATATACCAGATAATTTGAGAAACTTGAGTAATAATGCTTTAGACTGTGACGAACAGAGAGGCAACCCTCGGCTGATTCTATTTCATCAGCCCTAAAAAATATGGCTCAGTGAATCATTTTTGTCACTTAAGAATGAAACATTAAACCAGAACCCCAATTTCACGATTAAAGCATGCTTACCATTTTTTATAATTTATTGTTTTTAATTAAAGATATACTTAATACCTAGCCCATAATTCCTTTAGAAAAAGACTTATTTTACACCTCAATTTCCCCTCCTCCTTCACAAGTGAACAGCAACACCCAGTTACCAAACAGATATAATAATACTTTTGTCCTTTCAGGAAAGGACTGGCAATGCCACCTACAACAGAAATGTGAGCGCCAGTTCAATTTAATTAAAAAGTAATTGCTGATACTGATTGGAAAAGGAGATAATAGAAAAGGGAAGAGTGAAAATAAGAGGGAGAAGGAAGAGATAAGAATATATAATACACTTCCTTTAAAACACCAACTGACCCAAAGCACTGAATTTTAAGAAAACTAACAGCCCTATTATTACACGCGTTCAGCTGTTTTCCTAGTTCTAAAAAGTATTTAAAACTGGATTTTGGAAATTAAAATGTGCTTTCATAGTAAAAAGTTCACATACAAAAAATAACTGTCACTGAAATGCTATCAACAGTGCAGATTTCAAAGTAGACCTCAATAATTTTTTTAAAAATTCTTAGGGATTAAACAAATTTTAATTTTCAAAAATGCTAAATACAGAAATCAAAGTGGAATATGAGAAAATGTAAAGAAAAGAGGAATAAAAAAATAGTTGCATGAAATGTAGCAGACCTATAGAGAAATACTCTTTCAGTGTTGTTCAAGCCAGGCTTTTTCCAAACTGGTTAAGCTTATAAAACTTTATCCAGTGGCCATTATAAAACTGGAAACAACTGGATAATAATAACGAAACTTACCTTGCAAATTCTGGGTGCATTATCAAGTCAGGTACATGGTGACACAGTAAACATCCAGCAAAACCCTCCCCTATTTAAAAAAGCAGCGTGCTTTAAAGCTCTGGCTCTGTCTGGACTTAGAAACAGGTTCCTCCATCATTCTAATAGCCTTGTGACCTTAGAGAAATTAAACTCTCCGCAGCCTCTATTCCCTCTCCTGTAAAATGGGGATAATTCCTAATGAAAATGCTGCTGTGAGGTTTCATGAAATAACCCAAGAAAAATCCAGGCAAGTACAGCACTATGCTTGGCATGTGGTGAGCCCTCGCTGCCCACGGTTACGTAGTGCCTCAAAGAGGAAGGCATTCCCTTCATAAATATTTACTTAATGAAGTACACAAGGTCTGTCCAATTATAAATAGCTTTTCCATAGTTTGAGTTCACCTTGGCCTTATCAACAACCTCAGCATGCACTTTTATCACTATGATGTTATTATTATACATGGAAATTGAACTTTAATCAGTATCTCAGGCTCCCTTTCGAGAGAATTATTCTTAGTTTATCAATGAGCTGCTTCAGAATTTAGTTTATAATTAAATTCACATTCATCATGACAATTTTTATTCCAAAAAGAGAAAAAGTTCATATTATCTCTATATCTATATAAAATCAATGCACTTAAGATAAAAAAAAAGCCCAAGATTAAATTCACAGCTCTAATGAAGTTTATGCCCATCTTGTAAACATGGGCAAGAAAAGTTTAAGCTATAAACCATTTTACTGCTAATGACTTTGGGAGACAGAGGAATTCTAGTAATACTGTACAAAAACGTTTCCCAAAGCATTTTTGCATTTTCTCTAAATCACCAGGTTTGTTTAAAGTTCAAGAAGGTCTGAAAGACACTAGAATGTTAACAAATACTACGTCAGTACTGTATCCTGGGAGGCCCGCGTGTTCCATCTACGATACTCTCTTCTCTCTATTCATATCATTCCCAGGCCTGGTTACTGCCCCGATTACACGAATTCCAAAACCCACTTCACTGACTGCTGTTCTACACAGTACCTACCATAATCCTGGACAACAAGGATATCTATAGTTATACAGCTCACTAAAACACTTCACAAAGGACCTTGGTATCCTCAAGCCTCGGTCTCTTGAACCTCTGTGTCACCTGAGCCATCCACAACCACTCAGGACACTTTCTTATACCAGTACCCCCTACTCACCGGAGCCAAGCTGCTGTCTGCATTAATTGCCTCCAGGGTAATGCTCTGGGATCCTACACTTTCTTTTTCTGCAATTAAGTTACCCAGTCTTTTCCTTTATGAATTCTACTCTTCCATAAACTTAAATCTTCACATTATTTTCCTCTAAATACTTCTCAATAGTATTCTACATGTACCCTTCTAGAATTTATTTTAGTCTGTGAATTGACATAAAGATCCAGAATGCTTTTATAAGGCTCTGTAAGACGACAGAGTCAGGCACCCTACCCAACCCTGGCAATTCTTCCAAAATGGCAGTTTCATAACAAACCTTGAAATTACCTATTAATTCAACTACGCACGGTCTCTACGCTTTTAGGCCTGTAAATTAGGAGGGAAAAAAGTTTAAGGCCAGCAATCTGACTGTTTCTCTACAACTTTCTCTGTAATCCCTATGTTATCTGTATACCACACTGCTGCATTTCTGCAATGACCAAAAATGCTTGACAGAAGCCAACTATGGCAATGCACACCTCTAAAATCAGCACTTGAGGAGGGTGAGGCAGAACAATTCCAAGGTCAACACCAGCCCAGGCAACTTAATAAAGCCCTGTCTCAAAAAAGACACAGGGCTAGAGGCATGTAGCTCAGTATAAAGGCCCTGGAGATGTAGGTCAGTATGAAAACCCTACATTTACTGAGACTGCAAAATGAAGGAGAAGTCTGAACAAAAAAGATAAATAACTAGAGTCAGTCTGTGTTCATCTTCTCCAAAAGACTACTGTGTCTGAGATCTACAGCTAAATTTTCACAGACCTTAGCAACCCTAACAGAACCTGTCAGCTCCACCACCTTGAGTACTGCAGCTCTGAGTTACATGACCAGCCTGTTTTTGAGACAAACAACGTCTCACTAAGTTGCCCAAGCTGGGCTTGAACTTGTGATCCTGCTGCCTCATGTTCCCAGAACACTGAGATTACAGACAGGTACCACCATTCCTAGTTTATACATCACTTTTAGTATACGAAAAAGAAAAAGGGAGAGACACCAACCTGTCAATTCATTGATATTTCTCCTATATTCATTTAAGACTTTCTTCATGATATCCTTTTACTTTCATTTTCATTCACACCTTAAAAGATGTTAAAATTCTTTCTAGAAAAAATAAACTTTTTAGTTAATGCCCTTCTATTTCTATTGCCTTTTCCAATCTTAAATAAGTAGGTTTCAGATTTCTGGAATACTTAGGTCTAATATCCACTGCCCAAGAACCCTGATCAAGAGCAGATTACCAATAACTGTTGTCAGGTAAAGTCCAATAACAGAGGTGACTCAAATAATACAGCCCTGATTCCACTTGACTCTTAAGAATGATGGCAGCAAGCCCAGCATCATGGCACATGACTGTAATCCCAGTACTTGGGAGGCTAAAGCAAGAGAATCATTGTGAATCTGAAATCAGCCTAGGCTACAAAGTGAATTCAAGGCAAGCCTGAATGTATAGCAAGACCCTGTCTCAAAAAGACAACCCCCCACCAAAAAAGTCTTACAACATTATAGTCAATTATTACACTTGGAAAATTTTTTTAAAAAATTTAAAAAGAGGCTGGGGCTATAATTCAGTGGCATAAGTGCTGGCCTCAAAAGCACAAGTTCTTGAGTTCAATTCCCATTTTAAAAAAAAAAGGCAGCAGAACAAACAGGATGTCATACACATGATGTGCTCCTTTGTCATTTCCAGCATTAGAAGTTCAGCTTTAAGGACTCCAAATTTCATGACACAGATATTTAAAAATACAGTATCTAAGCAGGTAAGTTCTACCTAAATTCTGAAGATAATTTAATTTTTCTTATCATTTAGTATATATATTCATTATGTAATCATTCACAAACCTGATTTTATTTGGGGTGTACATAGGAATGTTTAAATATTAATCTCTGCCTTATATTCATGTGGAGCATTTGATGAAATCAAACATCCATTCATGATAAAACCCTAAGGAAAACTGATTAAATCCATCTGATAAAAACCATCTATGACAAACCAACAGTCAACATTACACTATGATGAATGTGATCATTATGTGTACCTAAAATGTACCAATAAACTTAGTTTATTAAAGATATTAATTGCTGCCTCATATTTATGTGGAGCCACTTAAGCTAGAAAGAGTAAGTGTGTACTGAGGTCACCTCGAGATGATAGAGTATAAAACAAGTTATCTAGATGGTAACAGGAAGAGGCCTCAGCAGGCCTCAGAACCAGAATCATCTTGAGTAGACTAGTTCTTAAAATATGGTTATAAAACCAGGCACTCAGTAAGCTCGTTCTCTACCATTACATTTCACCATGCTGGGGGTATCACTTGATTCCAATTCCATTTTTCCTGTCGTTACCAATTAACCACTTCCCTTTCCATTTCACACGTTCACAGTTCTACTGTCTCTGGATGCACGTTTAGAGTCTACTATCTTGCTGCCTCTTAAGCCTTGGGTGATCTTTGTAGGGGCTCCCACTAAAATGTAAAAGGACTACAGAGGCTGTCCTGGCTCTCCTGACAATCTCTGATGGCCAAGTATTGAGGTCCTGACTTGAAACTCAGGGGATTGATAAGATCTCTGAGATAGGAAGAAATTAAGCCAGACTAACCTAAAAGAGTATCCTTGATATCCCAGTGTTGATCATTTATTTGCTAAAGTCTCTATTATGACAATATATAGAAAAGTAAAACATGGGCAAACATTAAAACAATCATTAAGGGCCAGGGATTTAGCTCAGCAGCGTGAGTGCCTACCTGGCAAGCTCCAGGTTAAATTCAATCCCTGGTACCAAAAAAAAAAAAAAAAAAATCATTAATAAGCAAAGAATTGAAACAACTGTCCCTGATTGTCACTAATTTCTATTCCTGTCCTTCAAAACCATTCTTTGTCAGTCCCACACATTTCAGTAATTCAACAAAATGCAAGTGTAGAACAAAATGAAAACTGAAAACCCATAAATGACTTAAGATTTGATAAAACTGATAAAAGATACTAGAATGTCAACAACTCACTGAAACATGAGACCAGAAGTTAGGTAGTAACTGAAGAGGAAAGTCAATCAGGAAAATAATAAACTAAGGGCCTCAAAAATGATTATTGGATAGCAAAACAAAAAAAAAAAAAAAACAGAACCCTTGGGGCTGGGGATTTAGCTCAGCGGCACAAATGCCTGCATTGTAAGCAGACAGTCGTGAGTTCAATCCCTGGTACTGGTAAAAACGAAAAAGACAAAAGACCAAAAAAAAAAACAGAACCCTTAAGTAAACCGCAAAACTGCTCCTTAGGACTTCATCAGAACCTCAAAGGTAGCAATGTTATTATACAACTTGACTTCATTTGGTATGAAAATAATCCCCAAAAGAGATCACCCTTGATACATTCTTTGCATATTACAATTTAAATTTCATTAAGAATTACCTTCAGATTTGTATTTCGTTTTTTAAAATAAATTCCTACTGTCACCACTTAGCTTACAAGTAGCCTTTTTCTAGTATCAACTTTCCTCCCGCTGTTAATTCCAAAAGGGAGCCCTCCTCACACTGGTTAGGTTTCTGTTTAGAACTTCCCAGGCAGTTCCTGTGCCACTTAACAGAAACTTTGTTTACTAGAGGAAAAATTTTGGGGTCACTTTTTAAATTATTATTTAAAGACAATTTCTAACCAAAGAAAACTGAGTCAGGTCCTCCCAGATTAAGATCCCTAACCTCCCTCACACCCAGCCCCATGAGTGTGGCAGAAAGCCACCTACAAAAGACACCTGCTCAGGCTGGCTCCACCAGCCCAGAACCCAACCGTTCAGCCTGAACACCCTAAAATTTCTGCACTTCATCAGACAACTTCTTACAAGTGTTTTGGGATACTGTGAAGTTTCAGGAACTAAATACAAAAAAATGTATTGAAAGTGTAAATTGCTAGCTTTCTTAGCCTGACTGGGGTGGCTCTCCATTAGCCATGAAACGTAATGACACTAATCCCTGAAAACTGTTAGAGGTTTCTCACCACTGTGAGGTATCATTAATAGTTAATCCAGCCTCTCAACACTCTGACCCTGACTGTTGGCAAGGCAAGGAAGTAACCTAAGTTCTCAGATAACTGGGAACTGTTACACTCAACGTGACAGCCAATGCTCTCTTCAACACATGGTGAAATTTTCTGTCACTCTCACAAATTATCATTTGTATTTTTTGAAACAGCATAAAAATTTTAGAAATTACAGATGTCCCAGAAAAAAGGAAGCATTTTAAATCCTCACATACACATAGCTTTATCACATGAGATATTAACACACAACCACAATTACTTTGTTCTCTAATACTGTGACTCATGGTCATAAATTAAGATAACTTTAATTTTATTTACAGTTTTTGCATATAAAAGATGGTGGGGCTAAGGGTATATAACTCAGTGGTAGAGCATGGACAAGACTCTAGGTTGGATCTCCAATACCACAAAGAAAAATAAACAAGCAAACTGAATTCAAAGGAAAGAATGCCTGCTTTTCAACTCCTTTGACAAGCCAGTCTCAAAAAAAATCTCAAAAACTGACTTCACTAGGCCCAGATATTGCAAAACTTTTGTCCAAGACTATTTACAAGTATAAGAAAACAAGCTGTATCAAAATACACTTGTTTATAAGGCCTAAGGAAAAATAAGTATTGCTAAATTCCAATTCATATTAACTTTAAGACCTTGAAGAAAACTGATGAAATAATAGCCTAATTTTTTCCCTCCTACATTTCCTCAGTACCAATAGGTTAGAAGGTAGGTGCTACCTTGGGTAGGTGGTGAGGGTCATAAAAATAGAGAATCTGATTAATTTTACTTGAACCATTAGGCTTCAGTCTTTTACGTGAACTCATTTAATTCTGGCAACAGCTGTGACCAGACAAGTTCCTAAATATAATTTCCATTCAAACATATGTGGTAACTGAAGATCTGAAAACAGGAGAAATTTGCTCAAATGGTATTGTGGCCCTGAATTCTCAGCTATTAAGCCAGCTAAAGCAGAAGGATCAACTGAGCCCAGGACCAGGTTGGGTAATATAGTGAGGTCCTGACAAAAACAAACAGACAAAAGACAAAAATCCAGATATCTGCACAGGATTCTCAAGTCAAACAACTCCAACTATTATAGCATCAAAACGAAAAAGGTAAGCTGGGCATGGTGGTGTGAGGCAGGATTGCTGTGAGTTCAAAACCAGCAGGGTCTACACAGTGAGTTCAAGATCAGTGAGACCTTATCTCAAAAAACAAATGAAACATGTGACCTACCTAAATGGGAATATAGTTAAGTGATTGTATACTGTAAGATTAAAAATATTAAGAAAACACTATTCAAATTGATAGATTTAAATGCATATCAAAATCTCAAGTGTCTTTCTGCCCCCTTGAAATGGTCCTAAAATTCATATGGAAATATAGGATACTAACTAATCAAAACAATCTTGAAAAAAAAATGAAACTGGAACATTGTCATTGACTAACTTCAAAACATACTACAAAGCTATAGTATTCAAAATAAGTGTGAAAGTAGCCTAAGGACAGACAGTTGTATCACAGGAGTAGAACTGAAAGTCCTGAAATAGAACCACACGGAACAGTCAACTGATTTTTCAACAAGTGTGCCAAAATCATTCCATGGGAAAACAGTCTCTTCAACAAATGGTATAAAGCAACTAAACATGCATCTGCGGAACTCCTGCTCACGCCATACTCAAAAGTTTACTAAAAATGGATCAAAAAGCTAAAACTGGAAAACTCTAAAGGAAGAAGCAAGTATAGAACTTCACAACCTTTGATTTGGCTAGACCTTAAAAATAACAAGCACAATAAACAATAAAAATGCAAAGCTTTTGTGCAGCAAAATGTATTATCAAAATCCAAAAATGAGAGAAAAAAATTTGCAAAACATATCTGCTAAGTGTCTAGCACCCAAAGCAAATAAAGAACTCTTACAACTCAACAATTAAAAGTAACAAAAAACAAACCAATTTAAAAGTGGGCAGGGCCAGGGATTTAGTTCAGCATGACAAGCACCTGCCTGGCAAGCACGAAGCTGTGAGTTCAGATCCCTTGTACCCCCACCCCCCAAAAAAGTGGGCAAAGGATTTACATATATTTTCCCAAAAAAGTGGGATATATGAAAAGATGCTCAACAGCATTTGTCATTAGGGAATGCAAATCAAAAGAATAAAATATTACTTCACACCGACCAGGAAGAATGCAACTAAAAAGACAACAGAACACCCACACTTCAGGGACCTTGTGCACTGCTGAGTAAAATGCAAAACAGTGCGGTGGCTTAGAAACAGCCTGGCAGTTCCTTCTGAGAGCTTGACAGAGAGTTATCATGACCCAACAATTTCACTCTTAGGGGTATACTCACGATAACAAAAACTTGTACAAGCATGTTCATCACTGGGACACCCACAATAATCAAAATGCATAAAAACAAAAATACATGTTCACCAACTGATGATGATAAACACAATGTAGTATAGCTATACATAAAAGAAATGAAGTGCAATGCCAGGCCACTACCTGGATGAACTAGAAAAACATTATGCTAAGTTAGAGAAGTTAGAAACAAAACACATGGCTCCATCTACACAAAAGGTCCAGGACAGGGAAACTCAAAGGGGCAAAGTAGGTAAGTAGCTGCCAAAGGCCACAGGGTGGAGCAAGGGCTGGGAATCTGCTAACACAGAGAAGTTTCTTTTTGAATTAATGACATGTTCTGGAATTATATAATGGTAATGACAGTACAATATTGTGACTGCTAAAAACTAGTGAGTTATAATTGTGGAATTTAAAGTGTTGACAACTTATTTCAATGTTTTTCTCAACTTAGAAAAAATTTCCAGAACTAGGTACGTGACCAGGCCAGTTGAGAATCTCAGGGGTCTAGCTCTGTCTTGCAGCCTGCAGGGGAACAAGACCACTTTGACAGGAGAAAGGAAAATCAAGAGGGCGGCTGGGCCAAGCTCAATGGCACACACCTGTGACATCAGTACTAGGGAGGCTGAGGAAGAAAGATCCTTGTGAATGGGAAGTCAGCCTGGACTAGTAAGTTCAAAGCCAGCCTGAACTACATAGTGAGACCCGTCTCAAAAAAAAGAAGGGCAGCTGGGCTTGACTATGAGAATCTGAAGGACTTGGCCAGATGAAGAAAAGTGGATTAAGCCCTCTCCTAGCACAAAAATTTTCATGTATACCACTTACGGTTTTTGGCTGTTGTCGTTTTGGTCTGGTTTGGGGTTTTGTGAGTCAGGGTTTCACTATGTAGTTTAGGCTTGCTTTGAAATCACGATGTAGTCCAGGATGGCTTTGATCTCTCGGCAATCCTCCTGCCTCAGCCTCCTGAATGCTGGGATTACAAGCACGTGCCACACTTGTTTTATTAGCTCAGTTAAGAAAGTACTGGTAGAAAATGAAAGCAGAGATATAAGCAGAGGAATTTCTATGCTGGTTTAGCATAGGGTTATAAAAACAGTAAAATTAAAAGGTTCAACAAGTGACTAAAATTTAAAAGCAAATTTTAAAAATTACATGCTTTTGGAAAATATTAAATTTCATGGAACTATTTATAAGTCTGTCAACTTACCACACTTCATTTTGTGTCTGTACACCCACACAATATCCCTCAGAAACTTTGCCAATTATCATTTCTCTTGTTTGTAAACCCTAAAATTGTCACCTCAATTATCAGTTGTGCCTTATTTCTATACTTTAAAAAATGAATCTCTCACAGAGGCAAGCAATAGTAAAATCTATTTTCAAAG